AGTCGTTTGCATCCAGCCCCTTTCAAAACAAAGCTGCACAACTTTTCTTTTGAAATCAGCCCTCCAAAGGTGAGGAGACACAGGGCTCAAATATTTCTGAGATAACAGCTCTTTATTTGCCAGGAGATGTTGCTGCCCCTGAGACAACTGGTGTACATCCACAGGTCTCTTCCTACAGGACTGATAGGACCACTTTAAACACTGTTCGTTTTTTTTTTAGATTAACTGATAATTAACAGGCACAGCTGTTGCATCTTTGAGAAGATGGAGAACACAGAGACTGCAGTGAAGGGGTGGGCACGACCTGCACATGTCCCATGCCAGAGCACTTGGCTTCCTCCAGCAAGAGCATTCCCGAGAGCCAAATCCTGATGCAGACCCTGCACTGCCCTGGGTATCCCCACATAATTTATCTCCTTGGAAAAGCTGCAAAGCTCTCATCTGGGAGGTGGGGAAGAAGCAATAGGTCCCCCCTTGCTGCAGGGGTGTCCCTGCAGACTCTCCCTGTGCCACCAGGCAGGTGCAGCGTAGACATTCGGGTGCTGCCATTCCCAGCTCCTGCCAAAGCTGACCCAGAGGATCACTCCTGACCCAGCTTGCATTGGAGCCCGTGACCTAGAGGTGAACTGCTCTATATCCCATATCCAGTCTCCCACTGAGTTTATTTTCTGGTGTGGCAGATCAAAGACTGCTGTAAGGAGAAAATCTATCAAAGGCTCAGCACCCTAAGATAGATCCAGCTCGCTTTTATGTTTACTTTTAACAAGCATGCTCCTTCCTATTGTTCAGCAATCGCTTTAAAATGGATAATTATCAGATTTCCCTATTAATGGGAAAAATCAGGCAGCCATAAATCTTAAAACGTGCTACTATCTGCACATTGCATGTATCACATTAGGGAAAAAACAATCTGTGGAGAAAAGCTATTACAGAGTGACCATGGCTCGGCTCAGCAGCTGGTTTTAATTTCAGCAGAGGATCCCCTCTGCTTCCCAGCATCCACCAGCCCTGCTCTTCCCACTGCTTCCCTGCAAGCACTGCGAAATTCCAGTGTCAGCCTTGCACATCACACACCACAGCAACTCTCTGCATCTGAGACAATGACTGCCAGCTCCTCACTGCATCTGCCTTGTCCTTCATCCAATCCTAGAATCGTTTGGGTTGGAAGGGATCTTAAAAATCATTTCGTTCCACCCCCCTGCCATGGACAGGAACACCTTCCACTAGACCAGGTTGCTCAAAACACCATCCAATGTGTTTGAAAGAAGTGAAAAGTTCTTTTATTCCCTCTACACAGTGACCCACACAAAGCTGAACATGGACTCAAATGACTGGTGGACACACTGCCTTTCAAGTCCTGGTATCTCCCTTACTGCATAGAGAGCAAAAGAATAAGGGCACATGGCCCAAAAGGTACAGGTTGGTCTTGTGGTTAAAGCAACAGACTGGCACTCAGGAAATTCCAGGTGGGACTCTGGTCCTCTCCCTCAAAAAGGGTTGGAATCTAAAGTAGCCATGAGGACTAGTCTGACTTTTTCTACAGATTTTGAGTGGCTTTGGGTAAATTGCTTACTCACCCTCAGTTCCCATTCCCTGTGCTTGCTGGGATACTCATGCCCATTTTGCTGGCATGCTGCAAGGATTATCTGGTATTTGGAAAGCTCTTAAATCCATGTAACTCACAAGTAACAATTAAATATGCTCCTGCTTTTAGATCAGAACTACAATAATTGAGAGCTGAGCACATTTTGTTTCGATTTTCCTATGACTGTCTGAATTCACTGAGACAAGTGACAGATAAATGTGATTCATCAAATTCATGACTATTTCCAAAACAGTTTACTTTAATCCGAGCAATGGGAAAAACGCTAAAGGCAAGACTATTTTACCCAGCTGACTTAAGAAGGCCGTTTTATTCCATATTTCTGTTTTCAATAAACATCCCAGGACAAACACATTCCCTGCAGCAGATCTATGCAAAGGACAAAAAGGCGTTAAATCCTAAGGGGGGGGTGGTGAGGGGAAGAGATAAATAGTTTACTTCTATTATCTTTACCATATGTTCTATTCCAACTGGATACACATAAACAGCATGTAATCTTCAAGCTCAGCTTTAGACTCTTTGAAGTGACCTGACCATACTACTGATTTATTTCAAACTAACCTTTCTCTTTGAACCCTAGGTCAAGGTTAATTCTATAATAAAACATACCTTATACAGCTGGCTGTTCCAGTGGTGCTAGCAAGGAATGAAGCCCTCAGTCACAAGCATTTGTTTCACTGAGTGTGGTATTGTATTTCTATTTTCCCTTCCCTGTATTAATTTCCTTCACAGACCCTAGTTAAGGGGAAAAAAACCTCTTTTCCGGTCCATGAGATCAATTTTAAACACACTGGAATTAAATGAAGACATTTAAGCCACATTTCTTTGCTGAAATGCATCCGCCAACACCAGAAACTATTTTTATTACGGTCTATGTTTAATAATCAGATCTTCAATTTCATAAGAAGCTGTACAGCCACGTTATTCAAACTCCTGCACTGGCAACGACCCTTTCAGTATCTTTTACAAAACCATCTTTGCACTGAATCACAGCAAATCACCAAGGATAGCTTTTCTATCTAGGAAAATAAAATGGGAAAACGGAAATACATTTGAAGGGCACTTCTCAGAAAAGCAGAAGAGAGCTCCTTGCCAGTGCCCCTGCCAGTCTTGCCTGTCTGTAGGTATTAAAGGTAGAAGCCCTCCAAGCAGGGGTGCAAAGGTGTGAAAGAAAGCTTGGGATGTGGGATGCAGTCACTGGGAGATACTGAGGTGCACAACATACTGCTGAAGGGTTGATCATCAAGTTGTTTCTAAAAGGACTGGAAAGATGCTTTTGAATCTCAGCCTCCAGCCCACAGCATGCACTTGCAAAACCTAAAAAGCCACAACACCAAAGCTAAACCAGCAGCTATTCCATATTTCTCCTGACTCCAAAGCCTTGCCAACATGGTGCCTCCTGGAGCTATTGGGAGAGGGATGAATAGAATTCTTCTAGGTCTGAGGCTTCTGCAAGGCACAGGCTGGAAAATCTTATCTGCTGCAGGTGACACCAGGGGGAATTGTGCTTCCCCTCCAAAGGAACAATGACTTTATCCTCACACGTTTTGCAGGCCTGAGTCTACAGTGGTTGATGTTCAGCAGCAACAGCACACAAAAGGTGCACCACCCCTAAAACCGGCCCCAAAAGCTTTCAGTGCTTCATCTCTGCCTTAGGGGCTGCTTTGTAAAACAGGGTTTAGATGAGTTTGAGCAGACTGCACTCTCGGGCAGCATCGATGCAGCAAACTTGTTATCTCATCAATATCTGTCATTGCCGAACGCAGCTGAGCTTGCCGTAATGGAAGCACCATCCATTTGGAATCCCAAAGGTAGGCATCGGTTTTGGATCAATGCTCTCAGAATCTCCATTAACTATTACGATGCCAGTGATGTTTTAGATCTATTTTGGGTTAATTTCTTTATGCCAGGACAAGGCCACAAAAGGTCTTCACTGCACTCTTAAAACAAACAAGAAGTAGTGGCACAGTAAGCCCAGCATCCCCAGAACCAACGTGGTTCCAAGGAAACCCTTTTCCTTCCACCTCTCCACTCCCAAATCACCATGCTGTCTTTCTCTTCCAGCTTCTCCTCAGGGACTATTGCCTGTCCCCACTCCTTAGTCACATGCCAAGATGTCCCCCATAGCAGAGCCCCAGCTGACAGTGCCCTCCACACCCTGCTCTGTCCAAAATGACAGCCCCGCCATGCTGGGAGGGAAAAGATACAGCATGCAGAAATTCCTGAACAGGAGAGTCTTTACCTGTCACAGGGATATCAGCAGTACTCCTTCTCTCTCCTCTACCACAGTGAGTGGTATCTTAAATGAGATCACTGGAATTATATCAGTTCAAGAGCTAAAAATAAAAACGTAAAATTCCATCCAAATGTCTTGAAAGAGACACCTCTACCATTTTCTAATCTTCTTAAACAGGCATCAAAAATTATTACACCTAATGATTTATTAGTGAATGAAATCAGCCAATTAGACAGCCAAGGACTGATTTTTCAAAAGGATCACACAGAAAAATTTAATATCATGGGAGATAATAAACATGTCCTGAGCTGGATCATTGAATGATGTCGCTAACAGCCTGTCAGAGATAGCAGATATTTACAGCAGAATAAGGCACCACATCAGATAAAGTAAAATACATCCTCTCAAGGATATAGAAATATGGAAAGGAATCACTCCAGCTGCATTTTAAGTCTGGGTAATTTCCATAACTCCTGAGAAAAAGCTTTGTGTGGTGCTAGACCTCTTCTTAAGTCACCCATCCATGCTCCTGGTATGCAGGAGACCCTCTGGAGCAAGCAAGGGAAAAATAGCACAGACCTCACAGGCTGGATGCTGTTTTAAAGAAAAAACAATATCCAGACAACTAGTAAATTGGGTAACCTAAAACAAAGGTACCTTTAAAATCCTTTTATCTACACGTTGCCACTAGATGTGAGACCTAAGCAAGTATTTGTGCTGTTCTAGGATTGATGGCTTCCTATTGAAGCCTTGTTCATGCAGCTGTTACTGAAAGACACTTTTTTGATAAACTCGTAAAAAGCAAGTAAATAAACCTGTAAAAAGCAATAAACCTATAACTCAACTTGATTTATATACATCATTGCGAAATACTTTGCAATTTAATGTAACTGTGCACAGCCTATGATCTATCTGGTCCTATCCAGAATTTTGAAACCTCCTTATATCCCCAAGCCATTTGAGTGGGTGAGTAAGAACAGGAACTCTGCACTTGAATGAAGTCCACATTTTTGTTTGCTTTGATACCAGTTTGCCCTTAGACAGGATGTAATACAGCTGGTGTTCCTGTTTACTCTGAGGAAGGCTGCAAATTGCACCTCCACCAATCTCTGGAGATCCAGCTGTGAGACAAGAGCCCAGTAACAGGTATCCACAACTGACCTTAACATTTTTCTGAGTATCTGCAATAGTCCGTGTGTCACCTGCATCAGTTATTCCATGGATATGTGCAATATTCCTCCTGAATGAAGAAATCAAGAAAGGTGTTAGAAGATATCCCACATAGCGAAATATTTCCAAAATTGTACTCAGGAGACCAACAGCATTTGGGTTGAGGAGACCTCCATCCTGATGATGGTGATTTCTAAAACATTTTGGAACCGGAGAGATGCTTCTCAGCACTAACACTGCATCAAGGAGGAACACTGAGCCCCAATCTCAGGCAACACAGTGAACGCCACCTGGTGAAACCACTGGTAAGAGGTTCAACTAAAAAGTAAATTCCTCTCCCTTAATCCTGCAACACCAGCTTGCAGAGATGACTCAAACAAACCTGGATTCATTCACAAGGCTACAAGTTTGGATGATAAAGGGAGCTGTTGAGGAGTAACGACATCTACATGTTTTTGACATAAGGAAGCCTGTTAAAATTAGAGCCACATAAAACCAAAAAGCAGTCTCCCTGGATGACCTTTCTGGCTCATCTGCGTTGCTGTTTCACATGAATGCAGTGCCCAAGCTGTGAGTTTGCATCTGCCATGCCCCAGCCTGGGACGCTGTGCAGGGGATGGGGCATGAACCATCTGACATGGTCATGGTGCAACTCACATCCCAGTACACTGCCGTCATCTCCCCAGTGTCCCCTGCCTTGGGGTCCTGATGCTCTGGTGTCACGGGTACCGAGAGCTGGGCTCCCTTCCACATTCTCCCTGCCCCATGGGCCTGTCCTGGTCTATACCTGAGGGGAAGGTGACACTTATCCCCCCTGAACCATAACCCCTTTCAGTCTCTATCTGAGAGGAGGATGCAAGCGCCCCCTTTACCCCTCTCCTATCTGAGGGGAAGGCACCATTGCCACCTAAACTCTCCCAGTCTCTACCTGAGAAGAAGACATCATTTCCCCTCTATACCCCTTTCATGGTCTCTACCTGAGGGCAAGGGGCCATTTCTCCCCAAGGCCCTTCTCCAGGTCTCCACCTGAGGGGAAAGCACCATTTTCCCACTGCACCCCTCTCACAGACTCTACCTGAGAGGAAGGTGCCATTTCCATCTACACTTTTCTACTGGTCAATACCTGAGGCAAAGGTGCCATTTTCCCACTGTATCCCCCTCCCAGTGTCCATCTGAGGCAAAGGTGCCATTACCCTCCGTATCCTTCTCCCAGTCTTTGCCTGAGAGGTAGGTGCCATTCCCCCCTGAACCCTCTCCCAGTCCCTACCTAAGGCAAAGGTGCCATTGTCTTCTTTACCCCTCTGCTGGTGTCTAATTGAGGGGAAGATGCCATTGCCCCCTGTACCCCTCTCCTGATCAATACCTGAGGGGATGGCGCCATTTTCCCACTGCACCCCCCTCACCTCAGTCTCTACCTGAGGGGAAAGCACCACGCCCTCCTCGTACCCCTCTTCAGATCTTTACCTGAGGCGAAGGCACCATTCCCTTACTCTGTACCACCTTCCTGCTCTCTACCTGAGAGGAAGACGCTATTGTCCCCTGTACTCCTATCCTCATCTCTACCTGAACTGAAAGTGCTATTTTCCCCATGAGCTGCTCTCCTGGTCTATACCCGAGGGGAAGGCGCTATTGCCCTCTGTACCCCTCTCCCAGCCTCTACCCGAGGGGAAGATGCCATCGTCCCCTGTACCCCTCTCCTGATCAATACCTGAGGGGATGGCGCCATTTTCCCACTGCACCCCCCTCACCTCAGTCTCTACCTGAGGGGAAAGCACCACGCCCTCCTCGTACCCCTCTTCAGATCTTTACCTGAGGCGAAGGCACCATTCCCTTACTCTGTACCACCTTCCTGCTCTCTACCTGAGAGGAAGACGCTATTGTCCCCTGTACTCCTATC